CAAAGATGACACTTTTTGATACATGAAGAGAGCCATAAGATTTACAGCAGTGGGATTAGATCACTAGCAGGTATGCTTGATTTCTATGACTTGCATTTCTTAGGTATATTTCTTAAACTTAGAGACCTATAGACCAGAAATTAAAAGCCACTGTCCTGTTCAAGAATATAAATGAATACTGAGAGATCTCAGCTCCTCTACTTCACATGCCATTACTTCAAAGCGGGCACTCAAGTACGTGTTCCATCAAAAAGAATATTTGGATTTCAGTGGGAAAATTCTAACATGCTACCTTACAAAAGAAGAATCCATTAGAGCTATTAAACAAGTAGCAATTATAATCATTAGCCCAAGGATTTTGAAATCACACTTCAACCTACAGCAGTGTCATGGCAAAAGCTAGTACAAAGAACATCACACTTGTCTGATAAAAACATTATTACTTAAAGAAAGCATCTTCTGATGCAAGAAAGGGCAGGAGAGAGCAGGACAGGCTGGCCTATAGCTGGGACTTGTGCTTTCATTGAACAAGGATGTGTGTCTGCATCCAGTAACCCTGAAGCACACTTTGGTGGGGGATCTCAGCACAAAATAATTTAGTTTATTCTTACAGGGTTAATTCTGAGCAGCTAATTCTTGGTTTGATTATCAGATTGTAGCTCTGTGCCAACAGCAGGGAACATACCAGTTCCTTGTGTCCAGGAAGATCACTTCCTTCAACCACCATGTCTCCCTTAATGAGAATGCCATATAACTATCATGGCTTTCCAGTCATTACAAAATCTTGTATTGAGGGACATCTTTAATTTGTATGACTGCTGAGAAGCAGAGAGTCAAGCTCAATCATCTGCCATCAGAAAGGGAGGCTACATATGGAGAAAAAGCCACATTTTGCCCAGTACGGCTTTTACACAACTCAGTAGGTTACTAACTGTGCCTTAGTTATTGGCATGGCAAAGACATGAGCTGGTGCAGGGGCTCTGACTTGACTCAAGTTCTTTTTGTTTACTCTTACAATTCCGCATCTCCCAGCATCAGTCTCTCCTGATGCTCAAATAAATAAATAAATCAGAAACAAAAAACACCGCTGTGTTTATTCCCTTTTCCCACAGCAGTTCCCCCGTGCAAGTCTGCAAGGAGATACAGAAGGCAGATAGAGAACAATGCCAGCAGCAACGCACTCATGTCAGACAGAAATTTAGGAGAGGAAAAGGAGAAAAGTCAATATTTGGAAAAGACAAAATAACAACAAAAAGAAAGAAAACAGAAAATCAGGCAGTAGGAATACAGCAGGAATTGGCACTTCCTATTCTCTCAGGCAGCAAGACTGTCCATCTCACCTTCTGAGGAAAGTATAGACAAGAGATTCCCTGGCAGCAGCTGTCCAAAACCAGGCATAAAAACCACTGATGAGACTAAGAGCCTCCTGGCCAGCAAACAAAAAGAGTAAGGTCATAGCTGCACCCAAAGCCCAGGCCCCCGGCAATCTACAGGCAACAAAATCAGTTATTTGGGAATATGACTTATTCATCTCCCCAGACAACATGAACTGGTTTAGTTCAGCAGAGCACACTGTGCCACCTGAGGATCTCACTTCCCATAGCTAGAAAACATGGGATGGGGGTTTCTGCTTGGCATGTAAGGCAGTAAATGCAGGATTTAATTTCTCCTGGCTAAGTGGATGCAATGCACCGACTGTTCCCTTGAGCATGCCATGCCTCAGGCTCCTCAAATAACCTTTCCTTTGCAAGCTGTCTGAGGCTGCAGAAAACCCTGTTTGTTAACCTGCTGCTGGGGAGCCATTTGTCAGAGCTAGGTGACCAGAAGAAGGAAAAAAGCAGCAGAGTTTTTCCCTCTCACACCAATGGTGAACAGCCCTTACTCTACACTCTCCTCCTCTAAATAAAAGCATTTCTTACTCTGATTTTTCCACACAGTCTCATTACTACACAAATTATTTGAGCTGTAAATCTAATTGGCTTAACAGAAGAGTCTGTTTCACCACTGTCCTTCCAAGAAGAACATGCCACATACAGTGCTCTTTTTCCATTCAGGCAGCCACAAAAGCTCCAAGCTTTGTGACTTGCTTCAGTTCTGCAAGTGCTCCAGGAGCGCCCAATTTGCAGTTTGCTCTGCTCAGCATGCAAACACCATTTATAAATAAGCGTTCAGTTGCTTTAGACTTTACTGCACCAAACAGTCTTTTTTCTGTAGACATAAACATGAATAAATGACTATTGCTATAACTGGATGGAAAACAAATCTATGTATGGGCACGTATGAAATACAATACAGTTTCAGCTGTTTTTCTGATTTCCTTGTTAGAATTTATGTATAACACTGGTTCACTTGTATTCAGTCTGCTACACACCTTCCCACTGGAGGAAAATAGAACACTTTTAAAACACTTTTGTCCCTGCAATTTCACTCTAATTTCTCTTTTTAAAATCTTATTACTATTTAGTTACCTAATATCCAATTTTACTGATTTAAAAGACCTAAAACTGTCTGAGAAATTAGTAATTATGCTGTAACCTTTCTTCACAAACTCAAAGAAATAACACAGAAATCAAGGTATTGAATATTCTTGACTTTGCAAGCTATGACACACTGTTCTAATGCAGCACGGAATCCCAAATCAGATATCTTTAATGTCATCCACAGGTAACAAAAGGCTTCGGGCATGTCTTAGTCTGTTAAAGACAAAAAACCTGTTCCAGACTTTTCTTATTAAACTGGACGTGAGAAACTGCCTTTTACTGATCTGTGGGTAAAAGCCTGACTCAGCTGAGTTAGTCAGAATCTTGTTGTTTATTAACACAGGAGGGGAACCTGTCCAATATATTAATCAAAACAAAACTTGAATGTTCTCTTAATTCCATCTCAATAAAGCTAAAAAAAATTCATCCTGGGATTTCTGCTCTCTGAGCTTCCTATTTCCTGTCCCTAGAGGAATGGACCAGCAAGCACTTCCACGTGAATATTTCCTGCAGCTAGCAAAAGTGTGCTGCAGAAAACTGAAGAAAAGCAGGATAACAGAGTGGTTATACATCCTATTGAGCTCCTGGATCTCCCCACCCCTTTCCACCGCACATTTTTTTCTACTTGCCCCTTCAAGTCAATATTCTAGAACCAGAGCACAGAGTATTTGAAAAGAGCACATAGTAAACATGGCTTCAAAAGGGTTTTAATTAATACACTTCAATCCATTCTTTACCAGAATGTTATCACAGAAACTCACTGTCTGACTCTCACTGAAGGCAGTTCTGCAATTGTACCATTTTCAGACAGTCTCTATAACTACGGAGTGTTTTTCCTGTGACATTCCAGGTTATCAGATTGCCAACAAACATGTTCACTGGGATGAAAAATAATCTTTCTAATTTCACTTTCTCCAGCAAATACTTGGAGGTCAAATAAATTAACTGGTTCTCGTGAGTAACAGCATTTCAGAGATCAGCTGTAAAGAAGTATCAGATTTAGTCTAAGATTTTTATGGTTATTTCTTCTTTAAAAGTCCAAGGAAGCTGAACTGTTCACTTACACACATGGTTACAAGTTTGAGAACAGAGACTCTACCACTGTCTTACACTGACACTGGGTCACTACCACTGTGCCTGCAAAGCGCATCGCGTCTTATTTAAAAAGACATAGGAAAGTTACAAAAGGAAAGCAAAAAAAAAAAGGAGGAAAAAGAACAGGGGGATGATTCTGTGTTTAAATTATGTTCACAGACTTGTAAAGGAATTTTGCTGAAGTTCTGAAACTGCAAATAGAAGTTCTAAAGATTCACATTACAAGTCAGAAATGCTGCTTCAGTGAAGGCACTGTACTTCAGTCTTCGAACTGCTCCCTTCTTAGGGGGAGAAAAGATGAACAAGGAATTTCAAGGATATGGCTGAGGAAACAATGAGCTGCTAAAACTCAGCATATCAAAATCAAGTGCTAAATGACTATGTTCAGTAGGGGCTTCTCATGCTACTCAAACATATCGAGACTTTCACTGCATATAAGGTACGGTGCTTCATTCTCCATATGACAAGATAGAAACATTTCCCAAAAAGACATTGCACATTCACTAGCCATTCGTTCTGGATTACATAATCTGCTCTTTATCCCATTTTTCCCTTCAGATTGGAGTTTGTTTTCTCCAATAGAACTCCCCTTTTAAAACACCCAAGATAAAATGATGAGATAATTCCTGTCTTCGCTAGGCAAAAACCTTTATTAGCATTCAGACAGTAATTCCAAAGGATTTGGTAAACAGGTGTGCATGTGCACCCACCTTTCATTATTGTTAAATATACCCTCTAGCATTTCTAAAAGCAAACTGAAGAAACAGGTTTGTAACTGCCTGTTTACTTCAAAAGATGCTTTTCAAAACTCAATTTACTTGTACAAGAATGGAAACCTACATCACTGACTTTAATATGAGAAAACTAGCAGGACAGACACAACAGCTGTAAAAACAAAACTGAGATATTAAGCAATGTGATACCTGCAATCTGAAGAGTCTGATTCAAAAGTTCAGATAAATCAATAGGGAAACTTCTAATAACTCCAATTTGCTTTGGATCAGGCCCTACAAATATTATGATGCTAAGTGGCTTTAACCTTCTATTAGCATATTCATTTTTGCACATTGGCAATAATAATAATAAAAAAAATTACTTATCTGCGTTCACCAAAAGCATTCCTTCTGCTTTTAGTGCAGCAATCACATTCCAATCAGCTTTTTAAGTCAAAGTACTAAGATACAGCAAACTTCTACAATTTTCCTTGAACCCTCAAAGAATTTTAAAAGCACAAACCTGTTGAAAATCTGCATAAACTATTTGACTTTAAGAACAAATGTGCACTGGAACTAAAACAAACTCTCTCAATATTTTAACTACCCCATTTCACTTACAGAGTTTACTGTTCATAAATCCAGCACCTATCAATTGCAGAGCTTTGGCAACATTGAAAATAATAAATATTGCATTCAATATAGCACGTACCTGATTGACATTGAATGGGGTTTCTGTTCTTTATGAATGTTCTGACAGCATTACATGTCAGCAAGGTTTTCACATAGCAATTCTGGATTTGTTTTCCTTCTTTCCTTTATCTCAGATTCTAAAGCAGCTGTGCTCACCAACACTTAGTCATCAGATCTCAAATATGAATCTTTTCAAAGCAATGTGATGCCAGCTCATCAGTGCAAGATTACACAGATACTATCAGTGTTTCCTTTCCCTGTGAAGGCAAGACCTAAACAGAAGTTCCTCCTCCTCCTTTCTGACATAACAAGCTTCTGAATTTGTCGTTCACTGCAGTTAAAGCTCTTACATTACTGAACCATTTCATAAGCCAGTCACTCTCATATTTAGCACAGGAATGTGAATGATTAACTAACCAGCAATTCTGGAAGAAAACACTGACATTTAAAAAAGCCAGGTCAAACTTTTTTTTAATTATTATTATTTCAATCTTTGTCACAGGAAAACCTGAAATATAATAACATTCACTCTGAACCAGCAACTTAATCATCTTAGATATTTCAGACATTCTTAATAAACAACTTTGACAATGTTTTTTAACACCCACTACAATAATACCAAGGGAAAAGAGAGAGCTGTTTTTAATGGGGTTTTTCTTTTTTTTTTGTTTGTTTGGTTTTTTTAATTTTTGTTTTTTGCTTGTAATGTAATTACATTCTTTTTCAAGCAAACCAAATTAATGAGAAGCTGTTTAAGGTGTTATCTCTATTTTACCAAGTTAACATTTATTTAAAGAAAACTGAAGACATGCATCAAGGTCCAACTCTCAGTTATACACTGGGATTGCTTTCAAAGTGTTTGATTAGTTGCACAGCACATTAACCTCATTTACTCTAGGGAAGCTGACATGCTCATAAATTTGTTTGGATAAAGCATCATGTTATTCATCCTTGCATTTTAGATGCAAACATACCTTCAAGTCTACATAACCTTCCAAATATTTCATCTGAATTTGGAGGTTTGACTGTTGTCAACCCATGTAGCTGCAATAGCCCTGCCACCTTTGCTATCAACAGCTTCCCTGCAAGCACAGCCAGCACCAAGTCAAAGCAGTATTACTGTCCACTCAGTCTGCTGTTCCCATAATTACTTCACACTAATGACGTTTTTCTCATTAGAGAAATTAGCATTAGATCTGCATTTTTACCTTGTTTCTACATTTTTTTTCCTTGAGCTTCCCATCTCCATGTATTTGCAGGTCCAAACACTGATATTTTTAATCTGAGATTTGCTTTGGCTGTAACAGATGAAGACTTTTGCAAGCTATGGGGGATTCAAATCCAGCACTTCTTGATCACTGAGTTCTTTTTACAGCCTCTGACCTGTCTATCCAATCCTATTTGTGCCTGTGGTAGCTCTTAAACTCTGTTTAAGGGTAAAGTCATGCTCCTGACCATCTAAATACAAATGCGTAGGAATGTAAAGGTTTATGGATACATTCTACAGAATGGCAATTTAATTATTTGTTCCTAAAAAGGCTTTCTCCTTCAGGCCCCAGCACAGCTCCCTGGTCCTGCAAGCTCCTAAATACTGGTCCTTGCTAAAGCTCCCCTCCTCCTTTTATTTATCTATTTTTAAGCAAATACCTTTTTGCCTCTTTCACAGGACAGCAACAGAGACTGTGAAAAGCCCCTTTCTCTCTTACAAACAAATAGCAAAAACTTAAAAAAATCTGAGAGCACAAGGAGGACAATAACTCATTGCACCTGAGGGTTTCAGGCAGCCATTAGACTGAAGTTAGACTCTAAAGGACATCAGTACGGTCAAGAGATCCATATGGGCACCTTTCGCCCAGGAATTCGACTACTAAAACAGGTAAACTAAAACTGACTTTCTTTGGGCAAACCTGCCAGAAACTACAACAGTCCCTATCGTCAGGCACCTCACAGCACAGCAGGATTCTGCAGAAGATAATTGTTCTGTATTTGGACTGCCATCAGTGACTCCAAGATGTGTTACCACAGGAATATTTACGATAGAATATACAGGTTCTGCTTGGCAGAGAGTCCTGACAAAGATTAAAATATTACAGGGTCTGTAGCAGTGTCCATAAAATGCAGCTCCAGAAGGGGAACAAGGACTACATATACAAAGCATTAGAAACAGCTTTAAGTAGTTACCTACAAATTGTATTTCTATTCTCCATTCAGATCTTCTGTCAGTTGGGAGCCACATCTATTATGGATAATAAAAGCAAAAACCTTCAATCAAAGCAAATTAAGATTTTATTAAGAAATCTGTGTGTTAAATAGCCAGATGGAATAAAGATTCACTAGATAAACAATCAGGAATGGGGTGGCATTAGGCAGCAGGCAAAGAAAAAAAGTCAAGTTTCTTTCTCTCTTTCATATACATATGAAGTACACTAATATTTCCTAAAACAATATAAAAGGAGAAGGTCATTAATTATTACAAATTCCTGGTTGGTTTGGAGGCAGAGAAATGATAAGAGAGACAGTGTCAGGACAGGAGTTTCTCTGCATTGAAAGAGATGATCAGACACCGAGTTACAGCAGTTTGTAACTGAAGCACCCATCTACCAGACATGTGGAACTATAAGGAGCCTTGAGATGAAACATAGACACAAAACTAATCCAGCTTGAGATGGTAGCTCCCCTTTGTTTACAAGTTCGCAAGGAGAATACACTAACACCAATAAATTCAAATGCAGTTCCCTTAAAGAAAGATGTTCTCATGAATAAAATGGGTAAGCTTACTGATTAACAGCCAGGCCCATTACTGATGAGTGCATAAATTCTGTATTGTCCCAGCTGCAAGGAGTTACTTACACCATTATTAACTTATTCATGGTGAGCAATTCTGGGACCATTGGGGATTTTACAAGAATGCAACCTGCCTCTTGTCTGTGAACTTCCCAAGTAACTACTGAGTTTTCTTCTTAGCGTTCCTACTGTATTTAGCACTCCAGGTCTCACAGCCACAACTTGGCTTTCCAGCAAATTCACACGATATGAGCAATTTAAAGAGTGGTTTGACTTCAGGATTCACCTAACAAAGAACCTTTTCACCACCTCCCACAAGTTTTGAAGCTGTTACAATAAAAGGATAACACTGAAGGATGAGTGAAGAAAAATGGCCAGGACAGGACTGCAGAAAGAATCTTTTTTTGAGCAACGTTCATTAACAATTACATTTTCTTCCATGCCTATTACTAAATTGCTGTAGCAAGAAGGACGCAGCATTAAGATCTGCAGAAATAATTGTCATAATTATACCTAGAAGAATTTGAAGGAAACATCAAAAAGGCAAAAGGCTATATTTCTCATCACCTGTGAGTATCTTGTGGGTCAATACCTTATACTCTGTTACCATGGCTTTCACCCCAGTACCATACACTTAATTTCATAACAATTCCTGTATAAAAGGGAAAATCACTTTTACATGGGAAGGTTTATTTCCATTCCACACACACAAAAAAACCTGCCCTGAAGAATAACACTCTCACTACCTTTAGAAGCCAATGAAGCTTTTAGTCACAGTGTCAGACGTTCTCCATGAGGCAACCAGTTTCCAGCTGAATGGGGACATACCTAGATACCAAGAGGCAGGGTTCAAAGGCTCTCTCCTACTGCAACTCAATCTACTTTCTGCCTTCATTTAAGTCTTTCCACATACAGTGCCCAGTCACAGCTTAAGGTCTTATATCATTCTACTGTACCTTCCCTTAAAGATTTGGCCTTGACTATTCTGTTATAGTAAAACATGTCTGTTAGGACTCATATCTCCTGAAGCAGGAATTAAGTTATTCTAAATGAACACTAATTTTCTTCTGAAATCTCAGCTTCCTTGCAGAAGATGTGAAGAAGGCAACCATGCTCCATAAAGACCAAGGACATATTTTCCCTAACCAGAGCTGTTTTTAGAGATGCCAGATATAAAATCCTTCCTATGGCATGAGTGCTTTCTTGTCTGTACACAACAACAGAGATGACATGTATAAGGTATTTGCTTCTTGATGTCATGGAGACAAACATTCATTTCTCGCTTTTCCTTTTCACCCTTTATTAATAGAGATGTTTATTCATTTAACCTAACTACATAGAGTCTCCTGGATAAGTTCAAGAAAAAAACCAACATATATAGTCTTATAATGTAAAAGCACTTGGAGGTTTGTTTCTATAAAGCCACAAAGAACTAGCAAAAAGAGTTAGTTACTTACATGTAATAAATAGATGAAATTAGATGTGATGCCATTCAGAGAGACCCAGCCAGGCTTGAGCAGTGGTCCCAGGTGAACCTCATGAGGTTCAATATATCCAAGTGCAAGATCTTGCACCTGGGTTGTAGCAATCCTTGATATCAATACAAGATGGGGAGTGTAAGGACAGAGCACAGCATTACTGAAAAAAACTTAGGAGCACTGGTGGATGGCAGCTAGATATGAGCCAGCAGAATGTGCCTTCGCAGCCCAGAAAGCCAACTGTATCCTGGGCTGCATCCAAAGCAGCACAGTCAGCAGGGTGAGGAACGTTATCCTGCCCTTCTGTGCTGGTGGGACCTCACCTGGAGTACTATGTACAGATGTAGAGTCTCTAGTACAGTAGAGATACAGACCTGTTGAAATGCCACAAAAAATGCTTCAAGGGATGGAACACCTCTTCTACAAGGACAGGCTGAGAGAGCTGATGCTGTTCAGCACGGAGAAGAGAAGGTTCTGGGGAGACCTGAGAGTGGCCTTTCAGTATCTGAAGGAGGGCTGTAAGAAAGAAGGGACAGACTCTTTAGTAGAATCTGTTGTGATAGGCCAAGCGGAAACAGTTTCAAACTAAGGGAGGGGAGATTTAGGTAGGATATAAGGAAGAAGTTTTTTACAATAAGGATGTTAAGGCTAAGATGGTAAGATTGGTACAGGTTGGCCAGAAAAGTGGTGGATGCCCCATCCCTGGAGACACACAAGGTAAGGCTGGATGGGACTCTGAGCACCTGATGGAGTTGTGGGTCAGATGACTTTTAAGGGTCCCCTCCAACTCAAGTGATTCTATGATGAATGTGAACCATGCAATTACAGAAAATGATAATTTCCTTGAAGGATGTGACTGATGTCATACAATTATTTATTATATCTACTCAGCATTATTAATGATTATTTCCTCCTTTTTTGTTGAGAAAACAGGCAATAGGGAGGTAAAGAATAGTTGGGCAAGATAGAAAAGGCCTGCTAGCTCAAACCAATAACTAATGAAGTTGCTTCAATACGAAGGTAAAAAGTAACTGGTTGCAGCTAATACTCTTCCACAGTTTTTCAACAAACATCAA